GCCCGAGGTCATCGGCAACAACACGGGCGGCCCCATGTGGGAGATCGAGATGTGTTTGGGGGACAGAGCCATCAACTCATCGGACGACATACAGGTGTGTGAGATTGATGACAGCCACACGGATCCAGATCACACGCCTGCATTCATGGCTTGTGTCCTTGTTATGCATGTAATGCATCAGAAGTTGCACGCCTTCCGCAACACGTGCCTTGCTGCCGATGCAGCGGAGGCATACACCAGCACCGGCACTGAGGGCCTCAAGATCCACCTCCCCTTCACCGGCGACGCCAATGCCATCGCAGCCTCCCTCCCGGCCGTCCAAGTGTGCTGCCAGCAGGCTCACAAAGTCACCCTCGACGGCCATCCGCTGCCCGGCACCGTGATGGCAGCTCCGGGGCTTGACGCACTCGCACCGTGTGAGTCGGCGGAGGAGCTCACCGTCAAGGCGAATGGGTGGCCCGATGATCTCCCTGGCTACATCACTGCCAATCCTGAGGGCCTCTTCCCAAATGTGTCGTCGGTTGTCGTGTGTGAGGGAGAGAGGGGCATGGAGACGTATGCGGGCGGCGTGTCGGGTGTGCTGAGTGCGTTGTCGTCACTCGAGCGAGCCACGTTTGAGCTGAGCGTCCAGGCGGGCGACCAGCCTGTGCTGTGCATGGTGCCTGAGGGTGTGAGCCATCTCCCTGCTGAAGGCGAGAGCATCACACTGCAGGTCAAGTGCCGTTTTGCCGCACAGCCTGCCTATGGCCACTTCGGTTTCTATCACGATGAGGCCAACATGCATCAGAATGTGTCTGTCGGCTGGCGTGTGTACGGTGGGGAGAGGGAGGCAGGCAGGCAGGTCATGCAGCGTCGTGTGTCTCGTCTGGAAGTGCATGTCGACACCACACGAGGAGATGTAGGCGGCTTTGCGCACCGCCGATCCTCGTGGCTGTCGGATGCACAAGCCAAAGAGATGTTCGCATCGCTCGCTGAGTGTGTGGTGAGTGCCTTCGAGAGCTTCCCACTGCTGTCGTGTGTTGCGGTTGTGTCCAAGCCCAAGCCGGCTTTTGGCATGATGGGCTATTTGCGTACTCTGTCTAAGAAGCGGTTCAGGTGTTGGGTGGTGGTGGTGGCAAGAACAGTGTTGAGATGCACCGCGTGGCCAAGAAGAAGGCAGGCAAGGGGGGCAACAAGAGAGACAAGGCCACCAAGGCAGACTGATGCACACATGACACATCCTACCTGTATCGCGAGTGCATCGACACGGTGAGAGCAAGGAGAGAAGGAGAGCGAGGAGCGTTTTTGCCGCCTTGATTGTTCCTTTCTATCTACTCATTGTGTCCATGTTGACCACACATGACCGCCCGAAGCACAGCAGACAGGTCAATCCTTGCCCCCATGTCCCCCAAGTTGGAGAGAGAAGGAACGGCCTCTGTGTGAGTGCATGAGTGCCTTTGTGCATGTTTGCGGACACACTCGCAGTCAGTGGACAATCGCATCAATGTCTGTCCCTGTGTGTACAATAGCGCCAGGGTGCATGTGTGTCGTATGGGAGGACCGATCGGCTAAAACGGCATCATCGTCAATTAACAGGGCAAGAAGTCTGTCGTCCGTCATGAGGATGCAGACACAGATAAACACACGCCGCACACAAACGTACTACCGAGTGTCTCCCCAGACACACACGCACCACACACGGGTCCATCCATCCATCCATCCATGTGTCCATGCATGGTCAGATGATTTTCTTTGATCGAAAGAATGTCCTAAAGTAGTAGATCTGCAGAGCGGACACGGCGACCATGAGTGCGACGTTGAAGAGAGTGAACCCGATGACGCGGAAGGCGGTATTGTCGTTGGTCTTCCTCAGGCCCTGCTCCCTCTCGCGCATGTACAGGATGATGTTGTGGTACAGACGCAACTCCTCCTCGATCTTCTTCAAAGACACCGTCATCTGAATGCCACACAAATCACATCCACCACACAGACAGAACACACACAGTGACACCAACGGCACATACATACACAGACACACGCAAATGGAAGGGCAGGGCAGGTGGTGTTGACTAACGTACCGGTTCGAGGTGTTCTTTTTTGGCGATTGACGAGTAGTCCCTGGCCTGTGCGCCCCATGCGATGTTGAGCTTCACATTGATGCCCTTGCGGCTCAAATTCTGCACGCAAAACATGTGAGTTCCCGCCTGCAGCACACCAGCAACCACACCACACAGACACATTAGATCTCGCTGTGCCATACGTGTGTGCGTCCACGTGTGTGCACCTGGTTGGTTGTGAATGCGGTTTTGATTTCCATCTTGTCCTTCTCCGAGAAGATGGTGGCGCTGGGGTCCGCCACGTTGACCGACAGCAGCCCGTCGGTGGTGACGAACTCTGCAATGAGCAGCGTGCCCTTGCCCAGCTCCTCGCCGTAGCACTTCTTCTGACTCGCGTTGAGGTCCACATGAATCTCTATCGCCTCACACACCAGCAACACCAGCAGCACGCACACCCAGACCAGCTGCCACAGCATGGACAAGACAGATCTTCTCATGAGTGCATCACAGAGCTGGCGCTACGCCATCTGGGGGGAAGGAGAAAAGAAGAAAATCGCTGAGGAAATCGAAATGCGAGCTGGAAGAAGATGGTTTCAAGCTCGCAAGGCGAGAAGGAAGAGGAAAAGGGAGCATCAGCCATGGTGATCGACGGAATACACGGTTTTGTGGAGAACATGGACATCTTAGGCAATCTCGGAGGGAGATCTCTACGCAAGCCCGCCTCTCGGCGTGAGGCAGCTCTTCGCGGCACCATGTTCGGCGGCGCCCTCAGCGGTTTTGTCGGCCGTCTGTGTTTCCATCCCATCGACACATGCAAGGCCAAACTGCAGGTGCAGATGCTCGAGCGGTCCCGGAAGAGCGGCGTGGGCAGCGGGGGAGGGCCGCCGGCGGCCTACAGGAACCTCTTCTCGACGCTCGTCCACACCATGAGGGCAGAAGGGCCGGCCGGGCTGTACAGGGGATTCGGGTGAGCGACATCTCTGCAGATCTCACTGCAGACATCAATATCTCTCCCTGCTGTGTGTCTGTCTGTTGGTGCGACTCCATCCGTTTGTTTATCAATCAGTGTGACAGGTTTTGGTTCGATTCCTGCCACGTGTCTGTACTTCACGTCGTATGAGTACTTCAAGGGCAAGCTACAGGAGTCGCTGTATATGGTCAAGGACATGCCGCCGGACTCCAAGGCACACATCCTCACCGACTTCATTGCGGGCTTCTTGGCCGAGGTCGTCAGCTGCATCCTCTGGGTGCCCATCGATGTCTCCAAGGAACAGCTACAGGTACTCAGAGAGGAGGGACTTTAAGAGGGGAGGGGAGAGGGAGGAAGTGGCTGTCATCTGGATGTCTGGATGTCCGGCTGGTTATGTATGTCATCAGACGCAGTATGAGCTGCGGGCCACTCAGCATCGGGGGAGCTTCGACGCCGTCAGGAACATCATGAAGGAGGGGCTGCCACAGGTACGTACATGTGCTCTTGTAGAGGAGGGAGTGAGGGACACTCATCTGCCTCATCCATCCCCTCCTTTGGTGTGCTGTGCTGCATTGCAATGGATTGCCCTCTTAGCTGTATCGCGGCTACTACGCCACGCTGCTGTCTTTTGGCCCCTTCTCTGCATTCTACTTCATGTTCTACGAGGTGAGGTCAGCACAGCACAGCACCACCGACCCGACCTGACCACCCACACAGAGAGATCTGATCTTCCCTCTGACTGACGCATGGAATGCATTCATTCATTCAGCAATTCAAGGCTGGGGCGCAGTCGGCGTACACGTACATGAGCCCGCCAGACTTCCAGCCACTCAGACCGGCGGCCATGGAATACGCCAGGGATGATGATGCGGGAAGTGATGGGCGGGGAGCTCGTGCGACAAACAGAGCGTCGTCACCGATGGAGTCTGACCCGGATGCTGCCGACGTGTCCCTGCCCTTCCACTGGCTGCTGGCCGTGGGGGCAGCTGCAGGTGCGCACACTCGTCGATGGGCGGCAGGGTAATCCGTCCAGTCCCCGTGTTGTGTTGGTGTTGGTTGGTGTGTGGGTGGTGCGCACAGGTTCAGCGGCAGCATTTGTGACGAATCCGCTTGACCTGGTGAAGCTGCGGCTGCAGGTGCAGCGGACGGCCAAGAGGTCACAGACCGGCATGTCCACCCCTTTCCAATACCGCGGATTCTGGCAGGTATGCACACACGGCCATAGGGACACACTGCACATGTAGTACTCATCTCTCTTTCTGTTTGTTCTTCTTTGTCATGTCAGGGTCTGCGAGGTGTGTTCGAGGTTGAGGGAGTGCGTGGGCTGTTCAGGGGTTCCGTGGCGCGCATCCTCTTCCATGCGCCAAACTATGCTCTGACCATCACTCTGATGGAGAAACTGAAGGAGGGCTACCTGAAATACGTGGAGCCGGGGATATGACGCGACGTCACATCAGTGTGTAGTGGTTTTGTGGGGGTGGGTGCTTGTTGTCGTGTCATGTTCACTGACTGTCGATGGGATTTTGGACGATGGGCGATTGATCTGTCTGTACATTATCGTGAATTGAATGTCGATCAAGTCCATACAAGCTTCCATGCAGTTGATGCGCTGTTCAATCCAGGTGGCCTGTCTGTGTCGGCTGCCGAGAGGCCCGATGCCTGACCCGCCACCCGGAACGTTTTCATTGACGAACTGGCGCGGGGATGGGAATGAGGGCAGGGAGGGGCGCATTCGTCATGGTAAGTGTGAATCAAGGCAGGAGGCGTACCTGGTAAGTGTGCATTAGATCTGCACTGGGCACTGCCAGTTGGCGCGTCCGTCGATGAAGCCGTTACCGGCGTGAGTCTCATCATGCCTCTCGACAGACAACCGACACAAACACTTAGTCTTCTCTCACACATAAATGTTTCACCCACACACCGCCAGCCAATGGTCCTCTCTCGCGCTTTCAGTCAGGTCAGGACGAACCTGGCCATCTCAGGCGCCCCTCCCTCTGTGTAGAGGTCCGCCAGCTGCTGCTTGATGGCCGACCATGGTACGTACACGGGACCCTCCCCGCCGGTCTTGGACTTGAGCCCAAACATCATCGCATCCATCAGCCTGCAGCAATACAGGCAGGCAACAAGGGCAATCAGCGAACAGCGTATCCCGGTCTCTCCTCTGTGTCATTTGCACCCACCATGCGGCCCTCTCGAGCGCTACGACGTACTTAAGCTTGCGGCCACGCTGGATCTCCTCTGTGCGGGGATCCTGCACATGTGCAGACGCGTGAGTGTGGTATCTATCGTCTGTGTGTGTGTATGTGGGTGTCGGTGATCCCCCCACCCACCCTGGATCGCCTGAGGAAGCTGTCTCTGTACTCGTCATAGGACCTGTCCGCAGCAAGATCCACCGTACGGCGCAACTCCTACACACACATATCAACATCACAGGTAGAGCATATATCTTCCTGCACGGCTGTCTGGTTTGCTCCCTCACTGCATCGTCTGCTGCAGTGGTCCAGATGGGGAGTTTGAGAGCGACCTTCGCGGCATCTCTGGCGACCTCGGTGTTGCCCCTGTGTGTGGCCATGAGGTCGGCGTGGTAGGCCAGCGGCCGACCCCACCCCTTGACCTCCTTGTAGTACTTCTCGCTCGCCACCATCGCACTGTACGTGTCACCTGCACACACACACACACACACAGACGTCGATGGATGGAGAGAAATGCCACATGAGTGCGCTCTCTTGCCCCCCCGCCGCCCGCCTGACTGCCGGCGGACCTTTTGCCAGGTGCAGGTCCACCAGTGCCTCATAGACATCAGGAAACCTCCCCACCCTCTTGAGAGCCAGATATCTCGGCAGCCCCAGACCCAGACGATGCACGTCACCCAGCTCATACCCCTCCCCCTCATTCAGCAGGCTGTTGACCAGCTGAACCGTCTCACCCGCCGTCTCATCCCCACGCAAATCCTCCTCTACCGCAAACCGCTTCATCAGCGACCGGATGTCGAACGACACGAGCGACACGCCAGAAGGGCCGGGCCTCACGACCGGCAGCGGCATGTCCTCTGGCGCACTCGGCCACTTGAGGAGGCCCAGGTAGGACGACGGATTCGACTCATCTGCAGACGTGTTGCGGGCGAGGGGGATGAAGAAGGGGTGGAAGTTGCCCCGTGATGGCGAGGGGGAAACGACCTCATACCCTCTCCTCTGCAGCAGGCTGATGAAGTGCGGCAGCTCCTTGGACGGCAGGGTGGCCTCAGGGACTGCTGCAACGTCTCTGAGGAAGGTGAGATGCTCATCTGCGACGCTGCTGTGGGAGGTGGAAGCGACGGCTGGCGGTGCAAGCTGGTCTTGGGCGTTGGTATCGATGGCATGAGTCGCCGAGAAGCGCCGAGGCCTCGGTCGGGCTGTGGAATGAGATCTAAGTAGGAAGGTGAATGAAGGACACCACGAGAGGCACTTGAAGACGAAGAAAAGCCAGATCCGCCTTCTCCATGGCTTCTCCCGTCCCCAGCCAGCACTCTCCATGGCAGATCTCCAATCATGAAGCTCGCACTCCCTGGAACGTTTCACCGGGGATTGAACCCTATGGCGCAAAGGAGTGGGACAGCTAGGGATACCGAAAGAAAACGGATGTGACGGCGTGAGAAACTGTAGACTAGACTAGCTTGAGTGTTGGTTATCGTGAGAAGATGACGGAAGCTCTTCCGATAGGCCGCAGCCGCTTCCACAGCGGCAGCACCATGGGCGAACTCAAGACGGCTCCCCGCACCAAGGATGGCATCGAGGAGTCGCCGTGGACCGACCATGACTGGTAAGCAACCCTCACCTCTCCCACGACCGCCATCAGTCACCTCACCTGTGGCCCTTGTTGTTTGGCGCCTTTCAGGTACTGGAGCGCTCAGAAGCCCAACCGAAAGTAAGCTGCCCAGACCACACAGACGCCCATCCGTCGCCCATCCCTGCCCGTGTGTGTTCTGTGTCGGTTCCTCAGGGCGTCATTGGAGTCGATGGGCACGATGACGACCGTGGCGGGTGCTTCGTCTGCGGAGCTGGACGTGGGTGACGCCTGCGATGAGTGGGACATCGACGACGTCCTCAGCCAGGACAGACGCACGCCCCTGTCCATGGGGGCATCCAGCTTCAGCTTCCTCCACAAAGACAGCGAGATGGACCTGGTGCGCCAGACCGTACCTGAGGAAGAACAGGACCAGCCGGTCAGTGAGTGAAGTGACACCCAACACCCACACACACACCACCCTCACAACACACACACGCCCATCCCCCATCTGGTTTGTGTATGTGTCGCCCTGCAGGTATTTGACGAGAACGACCGTGAGAGCGAGTCGGAGATGGACGCCGACCGCCATCTGTTCGACCCGCAGGCCGCCAAGCCGGAGCCCATCGCACCCCTCCAGTACGCCGACGACGACATCGAGGCCTACGACCAGGCCGTCCTCAACCTCATCCAGGCCAGACAGGGAAACCAGGGGCAGGCCGAGGCCTTCGACCAGGAGGTGGCCTACGGTAGTGGTGGTGGTGGTGGTGTTGGTGGGGCTGAGGTGCGTGAGGGGGCGCATGTGTCGCTGGATGAGCTGGAGAAACGACTGGCCAGAGGGTGAGCTCACACACACACACTAAGGAGGGGAGAGAGAGCATTGAGATGATGGGTGTTCTGTGCGTTGTGTGTTGTGTTGTTGTCCGTTGATTGTCAGTGTTGGTCCTGAGGCAGCTCACAAGATCGCTGAGGGCCTCAAGGAGGAGCACCTCGACGTGGAACTGGACCACCTGCCCGATGATAAGTCCGTGAGATCACATCACACCACATCACATCACATCACACCACACCACACCCACACTCCTCTCTGTCGCACAGGGACATAGACGACTTCCGCACTGTGTTGTCATTTGCCGTTGACGACATCGAGGCCTTCGATGACGCCCTCCGCAGAGCCGTCGCCACCACCCGCCAGGCCTTCCCGGAGGTCAACCAGGCCACACGCGACCTCCGTGAGCGTCTGGATGAGGACGGCTACAAGTGGGTCGGCGGCATGAGCGGCAAGTTGAAGGACACGCCACTCACTGACGAACCCATTGGCGCACGACTCGCGTAAGGGAGGGAGCTGCAGGGAGAATAATACAACAACTCGTCCATGTGCTTTTCTGCCTTGTTGCAGCCCCGATTCACTGGTTGACGTTGATGACTTCGATGCGTACGACAGAGCCGTTATCGAGCAGCTGACTAGTGGGCCGCCCCCGCGCACTCTGAAGGACGCCGACGAGGCTGAGTGGGACGCCGAGGTGGCCTACACTCGTGACCTCCACACGGGCGGCATGAGCGGTCCTCTCCCATTCACGCCGCTCGCCAACGAACCCGTCGGTGCCCGCATAGCGTAAGAAGCCCCCCACACACACAGATGCACACACGACACGAACCATCCCCTCCTCATCTCTCTCCCTCCCTCCCTCTCCGTCTGTCTGTCGGGTGTTATTGCCATCAGTCCTGGTGCCGTGTTGGATGTGAGTGACTTCGCGGCGTACGACCGTGCCGTGATGGACCAGTTGGAGTTGCATCAGCTCGAGTACGGCGGCCCCCGCCTGCCCACTGACGAGGGGCAGCGTCGCCCCGCCGACACGGCCCCGCCATACGTGCGCGAGACGCCTGCCATGGAGCGTCAGCGTCTGGCGGCTCTGTGCAGCCTCCGTGAGCGTTTGGACGAGGACGGCTACGGGTGGGTCGGCGGCATGAGCGGCAACTTGAAGGACACACCACTCACCGACGAGCCCGTCGGCGCACGACTCGCGTAAGAAAGCATCCACTCGATCAGACATACACAGACACACACAAAGGGAGAGAGGGCAAACGCTGTCAAACGGACCAGCTCATTTTGGCCTTTTCTGTTCTCCGTGTGTTCTGCAGCCGTGACTCGTTGGTTGACGTTGACGATTTCGATGCGTATGACAACGCCGTTGCGGAGCAGCTGTCTCGTGGGCCGCCCTCGCGCACACTTCAGGACACCAGTGGTGAGGAGTGGGACGCCGAGGTGGCCTACAGCCGCGACCTCCACACGGGCGGCATGAGCGGCGATCTGCCAGAGACGCCGCTCGCCAACGAACCCGTCGGCGCTCGCATAGCGTAAGAAGCCGCCCACCCCACACACCCCAAAGACACCAACAGACCACACCAACGTTTGTCTGCTGTTTCCATCCGTCCAGTGCTGGAGTTGACGTTGAGTCGTATGACCGTGCCGTGCTGGCTCAGCTGGCTGGCAGCGCCGGCCGCCTGCCGAGCGACGACCTGGTGCATGACTGGGGGCGGGAGCGGGACTACGGGGGTGTCGATGACGATGATGGGTACATCGGAGGCATGAGTGGACCGCTGCCCACGGCGCCACTCGCCGACGAACCCATCGGGGCGCGACTCGCGTAAGCTAAATGAAGAACTGACACAGAAAGGACAAGGCGACACATATGCTCATCTCTGTTTGTTCGCCGTTTGTGTGTCAGTCCGAATGCGTTTCTGGACGTTAGCGATTTCGATGCGTATGACCGCGCGGTGATGGAGTCGCTGTGCAGCGCCCCCGACCGGCTGCCCACCACCTCGACCAACACCAACGGATGGGACGCTGAGGTGCCCTGGGCATACGAGACGCCACTCCGGGTCGTCAGCCGGGACGAGGTCGCCGTGGGCCCGCCCCCGCCGACCTTTCAGGACGTCGACCAGAAGCTCATGGCCACCGCACAGGACAACTATGAGTACGTCACACGAACGGATGGATGGGTGGATGCGTGACACATTGGTGGTGGTGGTGGTGTTGTTGGCTGTCAGGTTGGTGCCGTTTGAGGGCAGCGAGGAGGACTTCGATGCGTATGAGGGTGCGGTGCTGGCCGAGGCATCCAGGGGCGCGGCAGAGGCAGCCAACTTGGTTGACCTCACCTACTGACTGACTCACTCACTCTCATACACACAACCGTTCACACACATCCACACATTTGCGTGCGTGTCTGATGCATATTTGCATGCCTTCTGCCGTGCCGTGATGTGCTGTGCATACGAGAGAGAAGTGGCTGTTGGCTGGCTGTATGCCTGTGTGTATGTGTGTACTATTGCTGGCAGTGAAAAGCGGGGCATCTGGTGGGCGCGAGCCAATAAGACGGGCAGACCAGACAGACAGACAGACAGACAAACGGTCTTTGAAGCAAAGAAATGATCACCGCACCGATGTGCGTACGCGCGTGTATGTGTGTGTGTATGGTTTACCAGAGAGAGATGGTGGCTGGTGTGTGCACTGCTTGCTGCATGTATTGTAAGTGTTTTTCCTCACACATGAGTGAGTGCAAATCCACTGCCTGGTGCTGCATTCTGTCTGCCTGTGTGTCGGTGTGTGTGAGTGAATTGTATGTTACGTTTGAGCAGACATGGCCTGGTGCGTCCCTGCCACCATCCCGTGTCTATTTTTCCCCCCCTCTGCTGTTGCCCGCTGCCTGCATGTCGGCCTGCCTGCCTGCCTGTATTGATGACGCACACACATTCACACACAGACACACATCAGAGTGACGGTATGGCGCGCTGTGCCAATCACACAGCACATCCACACCCGTGGCCGCCATGTCTTTTCACACACACGCATACGCACAGATCGCTCTGCCTCTCGTGTCGCCTTGTGCTGCTATGGTGCTGTGGTGCCTGGGGTCTATTTCTCATTGCTGTGTATGGTCGCTATGTCATATGACCTGGTGTGCTTGTCGCGACTGCCATGACCATGTGGGTGTTTTTCGCAGAATTTTACTTTTCTCGCAGTCAAAAAGGGAAGGTGCTGGGGCGTGAGGGGGTTGCTTTAACACAGAGAGATGAATGGATATGACGATTGGATCCCGACTTGCTGGTTCGTGTTTGTGCGAGTGACCTGAATCCACGGAACGGGATGAGTCGGCTGCACAAGCCACCTGTTGTGTTGCTGACTGCTCCGGTGCTGTGGGTGGAAGGCCACTCGCGTGAACACTGATTGCAGTGCAGATGATTCGCGCATCAGTAGGGCTCGTTTTTTCTCTCCAAGTGGGCGGTTTTTCTCACCACCCCACAAATGGGTCGGGCCCATCACACACAGAGACACAGAGACAGATCGCGAGAGAGCTGGCAGTTGCACTCACTGTCTGGGTGGTGCGCACGCAGTTGCGGGTGCCATGAAATGATTTGTTGGTGCATGTCTGCATGATTTGCTGGTTGGTTGCTGTGTGTATTTTTCTCGGCGGACTACCGCCGATGGACAGGTGACCATCGCCACACACACACACACACACATGCGGCTATCGATACACACACACACACACACACCATCTGCTGCGTGCATGATGCCGTGACATCTTGTTGTTGGATGTTGTTTCAAAGCGGGCGAGAGGAACGCAGAGAGGCGGAGAGAGAGGGAGGGATGGGGAGAGGGGGGAAGCGGTGCACGTGCGGTGAGTTGAGGGATGATACACACACAACAGAACAGAAAGAACAGAACAGTGGAGCATGAAGTGTCTGTCTGTCCACACAAGGGTAACAAGGAAAGTTGGTTGGCCATGGTTTGGCCGGGTGGATGGCTGCCTGCCTGCCTGCCTTGCTGCCTCGTTGACGGGAGGGTGAATGGATGGATGGGGAGAGAGGGAAGAGAGAGAGGACGACGGCCCACATGATGATGCCATGATGATATCGGTGTGGATACGGATGTCAATCGGTCTGCGTATCTCTCGTGGCTGTGCCTTCCCCCAGTGGCTGTGCCTTTCCCCACTGTCTGTTCTTGTCGAGGACTTCCCCGCGACGGTCAACCGAACAATCACATCCGGTTGGTTCGTTTGTCCGTCGTCGGCAAGAGGCGCGCAGACAAGAGCAGACACGGGGGAATGCACGCCACTGCCGGCCTGTGAGTGAGGTTGTGCGTATGTATATCGGTAGCTGTCTGTGGTGTCGCCGTCGATCGATCGATTACTGAGAGAGACTCACATCATGTCGAAGTCAGGGAGGGCCTTCTTTTTTCATACTTCTGTGGACGGGGCGAGTGGGATGGATGGATGGGGGCACTCTGGCGAGTGTGCGTGGAGTGTCAACTTGGGATGGACGGAGAGACCATGTGTCTGTCTGTTTGGCTTGCTGCCTGCCTGCCTGACTTCTCTGTTGTGTCGTGCTGTCAATGAGCGCTGGGCCACTGACAAATAGATGGACGAGGCATCTATGCCACACACACACATCCGACATACACACCACACCACACCACACCTCACTGATGCGATTGATGTTCACCCATGATCATCACTCACACACCATTGCTCATCAACCTGCGCTCACACACCTGTGTCTAGGTCCATCTATCGCCATCGTCACAAGGGTGATCAACGAACCATCCAGCAAACAGAGAAATGCTCATGAATGATGAATGAATGCATCGGCTGACTGGCTGACAAATAGCAAGAAAGGCAAGGCAAGACAGCCAGAGAGCAAGGAAGACAGACACGACGGCCTGATGAATGAATGGGCAAACCGGCCCAAGGAGCCCTTCAGGGGCCGAGTGCTCGCATGAACCTCTGCACACACAGGCACATCCATCCATCCATCCATGCCGTATTTCGGAGGGCGCCCTACAAGCGCCTCAGCTCACCCCAAATGCGTAGACGAATCCCTTCCCTGCGCTCATACGCACAAACAAAAGGTTAGAGTGAAAATGGCCGTCTGTATCCCTTGTGGATGTGTGTGGTGGCTGGGCTGACCTCTTCTCTGTGGCACGAACATCCATGGTGGCGGCCTGAGTGTCTGCTTGGCCATCACCCCGAGCACCAACTGGAACAGCCACACCGCACTCATCGCATCTGGCAACCACACAACACATTCACACACACACAAAGACAGACAGATGCGTGTGTGTCTATGTCTCCCTCCACTGGTGTGTGCGGTGCGTCGAGGCAGGCCTGGCCTACATATGGTGTTTTTGAGGTTGTCGTTTTCGCCGCACTGCGGTTCCCACTCCTTGATGAACGTCTGGCAGGTGAGCAGGGCCAGCTGAATTAGGTTGACGATGGACAGCAGCCGCACACTCTGCGGCACCTTCTTGCACAGACACCCCATCACCGACTCGATGCAGCTCAGCTGACCCATCTTGTCCTCATCCTTACTGACACCACCACCGCCACCACCACACAAGCGCATGCAGAGAGGCGCGTGTGTGTGCGCTCTCTTAGTCTCAATCTCTGCCTCTGTGCCAATCAATGCTCACGTGTCGAAGTATGCGAAGGATGCCGACACGATGAGGGCGATGCAGCCCTGTATATAGTAGGTGGACAGCAGCAGCGCCAGGTTGACATCCACATTGCAGTCGGTCTGCTTGCACTTCTCACGACGGTTAGCTACAGCCGCCTGCGCATCGGTGCTGTTGCCGGGGCCGCCAGCGAAACCCGCCAGGAACGAAGAGAAGTCGCTCCCTATCGTCGAGTTGTCGCGCTGAAGCGACCGCAGACGGGGGCCTCTTGAGGGGTCTGCCAGCGGCCACAGCTGTCTTGGTGTCGCTGGTGGTGACGAGAATGGGTCACTGTCGGCAAGGCGCCTTTTGTACTGTGGTGGGACGTCATTGCAGTACTCTGGGCATGCATTGGCCTCGATAGCCGCATCGGGGCACGGCAGGAACATGATCCTGTCGCGCATGACTGACAAACCAACCGCCGCGGCAACAAACAGGGAGAGAAAGGTGGGCTGCTCTGCCTGGATTGTGAGTTTGTGTGAGTGTGTGTGTCTTTCTCTCCCATACTGTATGCAAATGTGGCCGCCCCGATATAAATGATGGCGCTCCAGAAGAAGTAGAGCTTCATGCTGCAGACACACACACCGACGCACAGACAGAGAGACCTCCGCTCAGAGCAATGCGTGTATGTGTCGGTGCCTACTTGAAGCTGGTGAGGAATTTGAGTGTGGTGACGCACACGCGGCAGGCCACCTTGCTGCATCCGAAGCACTGCTCCGCGACGCTGGGGCCCTCCATCTTCTTCGCAAGCCGTCCGGGACGTCAACCGAACGTCAACGAGAATGCCGGGCGTCTCAGCACTCGTCTTGAGTCTCAGCTTGGCTCGTGATTTGCATCCATGTGACGCAAGCCTTAGGCAGCCTCTTGTGTGCTGTTCCCTGCAAGTTGAGCCGTTGGCTCAGGCCGTTTGGCGAGTGCGAGCTTGAATCGCTTCCCTCCCTAATACTACAACCTGACCGGCGGGACGGAGTGATCTGTGAGGCTGGCTTCACATCTGCTTCGAGGTAGTTAGTGTGACCAATGCCAGAATGAGATCACAATGCACCGGTGCTGGCAGCTTCCTGATGGTCTCCTCTGTTGCATGTGCCTCGCAGACATGCAGGACGCAGCTGCTGCAAGTGCTGCACCTCCTCAAGTGCTGCACCGCCCTCCTGGACCGTGGGTCTGCCTGCATGACGGTGTCGAGACCGAGTTCGATGACGGCACCAACGATGCCAGTCAAGAGCTGGCCAGGGCCGTCATCCACCGCACACTCACAAGTGCAGACCAAGTGACGCAGCTCATCCAGCAGGGGGCAAACCCGAGTATCGAGCCGTCGCTGCGGGCACCGGCTGCGGAAGAAGATAACGTCATCATGTTGGGCCCGCTGCCATCCGCTGCCTTCCGCTTTCCGCTGCTGTCTCTTCGTCATTGACGACACGACCGACTACACCATCCCATCCATCGAAGCGCCAGACAGCAATCATCGTCTGCGCCCCGTCGCGCTGCCCCGCTGGCCATCTCCTCAGCTGCAGGACGACATCATGACCGCACTCATTAATGGCGGCGCGGACATCAATGCGGCAGGGGCCGACTATAGGAAGAGGCCCATACGTGTGGCCATTGCGGCTGCCAACGAGAGAGCGGTGGGCCTTCTGCTTCAGCGGGGCGTCCAGCTGCAAGGGACAGTGGCCATACGCCTGCCGGGGCGGTTCGATGTCCGTGGATTTCCGACCACCCCTCAGTGCGAGCTCCAGCTGCTGTCGATCTATCAGCGACTCATCCGGCAGGACAGCACACTCGCAACCATACCCGACGAAGATGTTCCCGGTTTGGTGTATGACGCAGCCGACTGGGAGAGAGGTTGCTTCTCACAGTCCTTCATCAACCAGTATCTCGACCTGCTACTCGCCAACGGTGCGGACGACCTGAGGACGGTCGACCGTCATGGATTCGCGCCTTTGGATATGGCGGTTGCCGCGGGCTCTCCCTGGGTGGCTGAGTGGGTTTGTCGCCACGTCGAGTCTGAGGAGGTCAACAGAGGGATGCCCAACAGCCCCATCAGAACGCCCCTCGCCATGGCTGCGTCTCGGCTCGACTCCCGCAATCGGCTGCTGGAGGGGAACGGCTTTGGAGAGGACATAAAGGAAGACATCCGCACGCGGCAGATTCCCAATGCGAAGACCATCATTCGCACCCTCCTGAGAGCCGGAGCAGACATCAGCAGCATGTCCGCAGTGGCCATCGGAGCGCCCCGACGTCAGCGCCATCTGGTGCAGACGGAGTACGCCACGGTGCTGAATGGTCTGTCTAATGTGACCATGTCAGCAATCAACGCCGCCCTCGCCCCGCAGCGCGACCACTCGATGATTCTCGCCCGTCTGCTACCCCTCGCACCCCACAACGACGGCAGAGACCCCGCCCCCTCCCCCCTCTCATTCGGACCACACGAGGCGGAAGGGATCGCATGGAAGATCGGCGCCTTCCTGCACGAGCCGCCCGCTGCAGCAGCGGCCATCGACGAGTACCTCATCGGCCACTCGCAGCTGAGGCGCCGCATGCGGACGGCCGTGGCGCATTTCGTCAAGTCGGCCGCCACACGGACATCCGGCAACAGGGAGGTGGTGGGCGACATGGCCAACGTGGGCGGCGTTATGGTGCGTGTGCCGCTGCAGTGCTTCGCCGTTCGGGGTCAGCAGGGTGGGCAGCATCGGCTCCTGGGTGTGCGTGAGGTGGTGCACAAGGCTCGGCTGGACGAAGCGGCCAGCCATGGCGTGACCGGTGGTGTGGTAAAGGGCTTCAACGAGCACCTCGGGGATGGCGACTGCGTCTTCGAATGGCAGCAGCGGGGGTACATCCATAAGGCTACACGGCTGTTTGTGGCGCTGGGCATCGAGTGAAGGTGTGGATGAGTGAGGGGAGGAGCAGAGGGGGACATTGATTGACCTTCCACTCGTTTTTGTCTTTGACGTGGATGCCTGAACGGACGGCCTTCGCTTCTGTATGTATGGCACTGCCGACAAGTCCGTGGCGCTTCCTTGTTTCCTGTGTGAGATGGACACTGTGTGTCTGCAATTTTGACGAGTAGTTCTTCGAGTGGATGGAATCCGAATAGCCTCTTCGTCCATTCGTCCACGAGTGAGTCGCAGCAGATGCACCCAACTTCATGACGCGATGCACCAATGAACATTCCCTGGATATGCACTGTACACTCACAAAAGCTCCCCCTCTCCCCTAGTAGCACCTATGGCCCAAAAACGACCTTCTCCCCCCCCTCCCTCCCTCCCTCGGTCCCCCTCTACCACAGATGTCATAAATCCACAGCAAGAGCCGTCACATCGGTGTCGCCTGGCCATCCCATTGGAACCGGTGGCTTGCGGCCGATGAACGGCGTCCTCGGCAAGAGCAGCCTCGTCGCATTCTCCCCGCCCAGCCATTCATGTGGCCGGATCTGCTCATTGAGCTGCCTCAGCACATCCTCGACGGGCACGTCGGGCGGCACCTGTGCGATAGGGACGTGGAAGGGCTGCTGCAGCTCCCGCGGCACCACCACACGCATGTTGGCCCGCCTCATGTGCTCCTCCAACTCATGAGCCAGCAGCTGCATCGCCCGCTCGCTGTCCTTGTCCAGGTAGAGCGCCACAGAGGTCACGTCCGCGCCACTGTCGGCCCCCCAGCTGTCGACGGAGCAGCCGATCTCACCAAAAGCCACAGACACACGGTGCTTGCCCCACTCATGGTTGTCGAGGAGCGTCCTGATGGCCTCGGTCTCCTGGTGGCTGTAGCAGCAGAGGTACAACAGCCCGATGTCGACGTGGGTCTCCTGGTGCGTGATGCCGCCATGCTCAGCCAGGTAGTCGACCGCCCTTTGGTGGGTTGCGATAAAGCTCGGGTACATGTCGTGGGGTTCGAGGCGGTAGCTGACGGTGAAGCGCCTCAGCCCAGGGTCCTTGCACTCAAGCGGACACTCGCCCACCGATGGAAAGGTCTCCGAGAAGCGACGGCACGCTGCGTTAACAGTGTTCCTCAAGCCGCCTGCCCACTCCTCAGGCCAGCCTTCGTCTATGCGAGAGCGGTCGATGACGGGCACACTTGGCGCAGAGGTGACGTACTCGAGCTTCTGTCGGCCTCTCAGGGGATGCAGCACAGAGTAGTTGGTGATAGCATGCTCCGTCAGATTGTCCAATGCCTCTGCAGGCGGACAGCACACCAGAAGTAACGGACACATGGAGAGATGCATGGCTACATGACTCGTGTGTGCGCTTCTCTGCATCCACTCACCTGGATAAAGGTAGAGCAACACCCATGCTCCGGGCAGGAGCAGCAGCACTGCCCGTCCCATCACATGGAAGGCAGCCATTGCTGAATTCGAACCTCGCTGACGTCAAGGGTCTCGGCGCTTCGGTGGGAATGAGCCGCCTCATGAGCAGCCAATGCGGCTGTCTGCCTTATGCACCTTCATGATGAGCATTGCGTGAGTGTGAGACTTCTCCGAGTAACAGACCGAGATGATTTAACCAGTAACCACAGAATTCCAAAACTGGGCACAGATCAGCATGCAACGCCCTGCTCTCGAGATTGCGAAACACACAAAAAAGCGTCCTTCCACTCAAGCTCGCCATTCTAAGCTTGCAGATGAGGCACGAGTCAATCTCCCAGGCAAAGGGGAGAATCATCCACTGTGTATGCCAAGCAAGCATATCAGGTGTTTCATATGATTGTTCCGCCGCTTACAATTGAAAACCAAGTCCTTCGGGCCACGCAGGTGAGATGCGGCTGAAAAAGGGATGGAAATCACGTGTGATTGTGTGTTTGTGCGCAGCCGAGAGTCACCGAGGACGACCTTGGGCTGTTCTTGGCAGCTGTGGAAAGGGAGGTCCATATAGAGGCTGTGTGGCTTGAGGGCCTACTCCTGTCAGATGACGCGCTCAAGTATGATGAGAGAGAAAGAGTCAACCGTCTCCCAATCAATGGCCGCTTCATGTTTGGTCCATCTCCATCCATCAGGATCTTGGTCCCCGTCTTCCTGCGGACAGTGGCCTTCGCCCTTCCCTCCTCCGGCCTCGTGGTGCAGACGCCTTCCCTGCAGGGCCCCGGCCTGCGGGAGATCAACCTCTCCACCAACAGAATGTCAGACAGCGCCGCACTCATCCTCGCTGAATGCATCGCACGACTGCCCGCACTCACACGACTTGACGTCAGGTACAAACGCGGAAGAGGAGAAGAGAGAGAAGAACACTGCGTGAACGGAGGTCGATCTATCTGTGTGTGCAGCAATAACTGGATCGGTCCTGAGGGCGGGATTCCACTGGCCAAGGCCTTCTTCCCCGACTACACGTCTTCCCCGACGAGGCGGCGGTGTGACGCACGGTTGGACGGGGACGGACAGCAGACGGAGACCTTCTGGCTCGACCTGAGTGACAACTATGTTGGACCAGAGACCTGCTTCGCTGTCGCTGAGGTGAGAGTGGCGAAGCTAGAGCTTCCTGTGGGTGTCTGAATCGAAGATTGTGCCGATGTTGTCATTTAGACCATCAAGTGCAATCGGTGCCATGCTCAAGTGGGTCTGCGGAACGTCCGTTGTGACCCGGCGGGATCTATGGCGATCGCGGCCTGCCTCGACTTCCTCCACAGCATCGACCTTTCGTCAAACCTGCTCATCCTGCCTGACCTATGCGCCATTGAGGCCGTCTGCCACCTGCTCAAGCTCGGCAGCACCCCGTCACCCACCGCCGACATGCCCCGCAACAACCTGAAGCAGCTGCACTTGTCCTTTTTGTTCGACATCTATGGCAGCAAGGCGCCTTCGCGCATCAAGACAAGGTCGCCCATATCGCCCCCGTTCCCTCCCCTCCTGCGGCCACGTGCCGGCGTATCGCCCGTAAACGACACGCCTATCACCATCGTCTCACGATCGCCGGCGAAGCCTTCACTCGAGCGGTCGTCCGACAGTCCACCCGCTCCCCTCTCGTCGCCCCTCGCCAAGAGCGCCCCCTCCCCACAGTTGAATGCCGTGTCGCCGGCCAGTGACAGCAGAGGGGACGGCAGACCACGGAAGGCAGCCGGGAGGGTCGGCAGGCGGACCAGACGGAGGTCTGACGGGGAGGGTATCGGGGGCGGCAAGGGCGTCTATCGAGTGATGCGGCGGGCGCGGACAGGATCGGTCAGGTCGGGCTCGCCAGCGTCGGTGGGGTCAAATGGGAGGAGCTCCGACGACTTCTACCTCTTCTGTCCGCTGACATTGGACGACCGACAAGCTCTCGCCGATCGGTCGCTGGGCATGATTGCTGAGGTCAGCAGAGGGCCACAGGGGAGGGAGCCATTGCGATTGCTGTGTACCCTTGATGCAGGCACTGAGTTCCGGGGCCGCAAGGGACCTGTGGGCATTCTCCTTCGCCGGTAAGGCGACATTTATCAGCAGCGATAGCACTCCGTTTCACTCCCTGCTGTTGATGTTCATTGTCAGGCAATGAGGTGACTGATGTGGGTTGCGAGGCGTGGGTACGTGGCATCCAACTGGCCATCGAGGGGGGCGTACCACCGCCCCCGATCGAGGAGCTCGACCTGTCGTTCAACCACCTCACCCAGACAGACATTCTCACCGAGCATGTCGTCTGCAAACTGCCTCTCAGGTACTGGGCGAGAAGAACCAGACAAGGGACCATTTGTCGAGAGACAATCCATTATGCTGTGTGTCTGCGTTGCTGTGTGTGCAGGGTGCTGGATCTTGCGGGCAACAACATCACGGACGCCGCTGGTGCCACACTCATACAGGGCATCCGCCACCAGCATCCCCCCACTCTCCGCCATCTCAATCTGTCACACAACCCCGTGTCGGACAAGACGGCAGAGGCGCTCGCGGAGCTCCTTGTGTCCCACGATGACACTGGCGGCACTCCACACCCCTCCCCATCAGCAGCAGACATCTCCCCCTCGTCTGACGCATCTCGGCGGTCCATGAGACGCAGATTCGAGGACGAATCGCCCACCCCCACCACCAGCAGCCAGCCGTCACTCAGGGCACAACCGCAGCAGCAGCAGCAGCAGCCGCAGCAGCGGAGGAGCCCCTTTTCTCTGCGGAAGGGCCGTTCTTGGGTTTGCGTCGATCCTGAGGAGCGGGCGAGTGATGGAGAGGCCCTTCGGGGCGGCCGCATGGGGGCCGTCAACCTGTCCTACACGCTGATCGGCGACAGTGGAGCCTTCTCACTCGCACACGCTATCGCAGCGTCTCCTGATGGACCACTGGCTCTGTTGGACCTCAGCGGCACCGCCATCGACCAATCGGGCTCACGGGCCGTCCGCGAGGCACTCGAGAAGCGCCAGGCCACCCCGCAGCACCGACAGACCGATGCTCAGCCGGCTGCTCCGCTCGTCCCTCTGGTGAAGGGCCTTCCCCCTGTCGCCATCTTCCTGCCCGAGTGTGAGGGCGACGGCAACCTGATGGCCGAGACAGACGAGGTGCCGCTGGGCAGCGACGGGCCGCCAATCGACGATGGGTACTACGACAGTGAGGGCGTGCAGTACTCCGACCCCGACTCGCCCCTGAGCCCGGCGGCCAGGGGCGACCCCACCTGGTGGTATGAGGAAGACCTGCCCGACGATGATGGCTACTACACCTGGATGAGCGGCGGGGTCGTCACCGGGTTGGACAGCAGGCCAGCAGCAGCAGCAGCAGCTGCAGCGGCAGCGGCAAATGAGGGCAAGATGGTTCACCGGATACCCGACACCAGCAGCGAGGGCTCGCCTGGTGGTTCTGCGTCCCGCCAGCCTGTGGAGTATGCCATCCACACACAGCGGGACTTGAAACTGGCGCCGAGGGAGGGGGCGAAGGACGCAGAGGGAGGGGGAGGGGGTAAGGGTGATAAGGGTGTGATGGTTGTTGCTCTGAGCAACAACTCGATGCGTTCGAGCGACGAGAGCGACAGTGGGGATAATGGCCAGGTAGAGGGCCCTTTCCTCAAGCTGCCACCTCCCCCAGATGTCTACAGTTAGCTACCGGCTGCTGCGTAATTAGATAGAAGGACATGACGGGTGGGGGGGCAGTGCAGACAGACACTTGAGACAAGTGAGAGATATTTTCTGCATGCCGTAAATACCACACTTGTTGCTGCAGCTAGACGGCTGGTGAGGGGGAGTGGGGGGTGGGGTGCGGTGTGGTGTTGCTCCTGTCCTAGTGTAAATACCTGCCTGCATCCATTCATGGGTTCATGTGAGTTCTGTTGCCCTCTCGTTTCGACATTGCAACAATGGCGTGAGAGACGCGCTGTGGTCATTTGTTATTCTGTGGACGACAGTCGGTCATTTTGAGCGTTAATGAGTCATTTGAGGCATGCAATGCATTCAATCGTTCGTCGCAACACTTCAAGTGGTGGCCACCCTCCCCTCCCCTGCTCTCCGTCCTTCTCATCCATACGAAAGTGTCCATTTCCACGTTGTACCACAGTCATGTATCGGTGGAAGGGTCGGGGATTCAGTCATGTGTCTGGCAGACAAGCGAGAGCGAATCCATCCAGACACATGACTGAATCCCCGACCCTTCCACAGAGGCAGGATCTGCACTGGTCGTTGCATACACAGATTCATGTACGACAAAAGAAAGACACACAGACACCATCATCCCCCCGTTGCTCTCTCTTGGTGACAGCAGCATGCGTGGCAGCTCTCCATTGAAAGGCAACATCAATTATAACACGGGCACTACAAAAGCCATCCAATGATGATCGATCATCAGCGCGTGAGGGACAGACAGGTCAAAACCAACGTACAGTCCAAGTGCGAAGTCGGCTGCAATGCATGCATGCGCATAGAGAGGCGTATGGAAAGCAAAACTGTCACCCGGGCGTACAGAGAGAGATGTGTGGGCTGCAGAAGGGAGATGCTGTACAAATATGGGTTGGTAAGGGAGAAGAGTGATCAGTGAGACACACAGACACAAAGACAGACAGACAGACAGACAGACAGGTGTGTCGTTGAGCGCGGCGAGGAGAAGATGGCTGGTTGACTCGCTGACAGGCAGACAGGAAGACAGACAGACAGACAGACAGGCAGGGAGGGAGGGAGGAGGGGAGGGAGCTAGAACAAACGCTATGGTACACACACATCAACACCCACATCCACACAGATGGACAGACATTGAGCATACAAGATGACGCGCCTGATGTGCGTCCCTCTCCTGTCTACCAAAAGCCCCCTGACTGCTCTCACTAATCAATCTCATCTCGCACCGTGCTCACTCTAGCCACCTGTACATTCAGCGCACGCACGGTGTGATGCACACACACACACACACACACCATCATATGCAGTGACATACATATACACGCGACAGCAACCACACACACCCCGAGAAAACGTCACACACGACAAAACTGTGCCCCGTACACCCACTACTGCACATGCGTCTGTCGCGTCTGTTGTGCGGCTCTCTGTGTGCCTACTCATCATCTGTCTGGCTATCTGTCTCTGTGTCGGTCGGTCGCCATCAACGCATCTCATATGCACAGCGAAAACTGATGCAGAGGGGACGAGAGACCGGACCACAAGGAAGCGAAACGAGAGAGAACGACTGCACAGCAACGGTATCATGATACAACCACAACGCAACACGATCGATGGACTAACTGAATTACCGCCAATTGATGATTGATGAGATAAACAAAAAGAACTCGCCTGCCTCGCCGCGCCCTTGTGGCAGACGGGGTGGCCTCCTCTGTCCTCCTTCCTTTCCTCTCAGCGCCTTGTCTGCCTCCCCTCACCTGACTTACACTAACTCTCCATTCTCCATTCTCAGACGAACGTTCCAAACAACACCACTCTCTGTCCCTCCATCCATCTCTCTATCTAGCTAGCTATGACACACTGGATACCCCTCCACACACACCGCCCGTCCGTGCATGTGTGTCTCACATGCACCCCTCGCCGTCCCGCCCTTGCCCGTCAGAAGCGTACGCCTCAGACACACCCGGCGGCGGCCGCACATCCCTCGTCGGGCACGCCCCTCCCCTCTGCCGACCCGCACTATCGCTGCCGTCCCTCGAGCGGATGAGGGCTCTCAGCTGCGACCTCTCCAGCTCAATGGGCATCCCGCTGGCTCTCGCTAGGGCCGGCGATACATAGGGGGCTGGTGGCGGTGGGCGAGTGGCGGCCAGTGTGGCCGTCACCATCGATGGGGGCGTGTAGGGGCTGCCTGGAGGGGTGGCGCTTTGCTGCGGTTTCTTGCTGCGTGTGGCGGGTTTGGCCGCGTAGACTGGCGAGAGGGGGTATCGGGAGAGGCGCATCTGCTCGCGTATGAGTTCTTGCCGGAGTGCTTTGCGTTGGTAGCCGCGGAGGAGTCGCCGGATGTCCTCCATGTCAGGGGATGATGACGAAGCATCACCGCCCTTGCTGCTGCCGCTACCGCTACTGGCCTGCAAACAAGACAACCAGTGCCCATTGCTGTCTCTCTCGCAGGCCGTGTGTTTGTTCAGCTCACCAGCACTGGCTTGTTGGTGTTTTGCAAGGCGCTGGGTGTGCTGAGGAAAGGCGCCCTGGCGAGGTCGTTATCGAGGTCATTCTTGAAGAGCCCCATGGCTATTCTGAACTTGAGTCGCGTCCAATAGCCCCACCAGCTGGGCAGACCGCTCGAGTCTGACAGGCGGCTCTCGAGAGACCTGATCGATTCATTGTCACGCACACAGACAGATGCCATGTGCTGGGTATGTCGGTCGTTGTGTGTGTGTGTGTGTCCCTCCCTCCCTCCCTCCCTCCCTCACTTGTATAGTATTTCGTCTGCGTTGTGTATGCACCGGAAGTACTGCTCATCGACCCCCTTCATGTCAAACAGAAACGGGGGCAGCAGATACCTGAACACACAGATAGATCGATGTGTATCGGTTTTTCCGTTGCTGCATCGGTCGTGTCGTGTCGATGGATCGGACCTGCCGGCGATGGTGATTGATGCCGGCGCGGCCCTCTTCTTCTTGTTCTGCAGGTAGAGCTCGCAGGTACAGTAGTTGACGTCATGCTGCATGCACGTACGGTCCACTGGACAAACACACACACACACAGAGGCCATCCACTGCACAATCTCATGAAAACACCCTCGCCGTCCGTCCCCTCACCTCCATCGACCGGTATCGCGTCATCTCGCCTCGGCCGACACTGGGTCGCTACACACCAACCACGAGAAACACACGTGCATCCCCCTGTCTGCCTGCCTGCCTGCCTTGATGTCCTCACCGACGGAGAGTTCCTTGGTAGGTCCACAGTAGGTGCCATATCTGTTGAGCGAGTTGATGACCCGCTGTGTGCGCCTCTCAGACACCTCGGGGGCGTCAGGCCGGGCCGCCTCCTGCACCTCTCGCCCTGGGAAGCTCTCGGGCAGTGTGCTCACACTCAGGATGCGGGGCACGCCGGAGGCCGGGGCTGAGGGGTCGGCTGACGCCACGTGTGCTATAACAGGGGGAGGGGGGGCTTGGGCATACCACGCGTGTGGGACGAGGGGCTGCAGAAAGCTGCTGCTCCTGCTGGATGTGACAGACGCGGGAAGGGCAGTTTGAGTGCAGAGAAGGACAGTGGTGAGGGGCAGGAGGGCATGGCAGCACATCTGGTCCGTGTCTGATGACAGATCCTCCTCCCGCGATGCGAATGTGAGCTAAGAGTTGCAGGGGTTCTGTGCGAAAGAGCCGCATTGAGACCCAATTGTCGTTGATCCTCTCCACATTGCAGCCCAGACGTATCCCTCAAGCCAGATCTGCGCTATGGATGCAGCTGAGGGTGGGCTCCCCGCATGTATACAGCCCGGCAGCTGCACTGGCGGCAGCCGGTGGGCAGATGCGGAAGCCCATCGTTGACGTGGCATGAGAGCTCAGAGCGGGAGGATACAGGCGGCGGCAAGAAGCAGCGGGTGGACAAGCACAAGAAGAAGGTGAAGGCCGACAACAAGGGCGGCGGCAGGGCCTTGAGGGAGGAATCGGACGACGAAGGCCATCCATTGGATGCCGATGGAGGGATGGATGGATGGATGGTGGTTTTATTGTTTGTCTATTGATATCTCTCTCTCTCCGTTCCCTGATGGGTCAGGTCAAGTCACGTCTGGAGGAGTTGCCTGAGGGCCTGTGGATGGCCAACGGTGTAGGTATGGGCGCCATGCTGGGGACCGCATGTACAAGATGCCATCCCTGAGTGGCTTGGGTGTGGTGGACGTCACCATGCAGGGGGCTCCCCGCTGGCTCACTCAGAACAAGAAGGGCATCAAGTCGCTACACATCATCTGTGACAAGGTGAGCGACAAGAAGGGCAATCAACGTGCGGCTCGACAAACGATCTTCATTCTTCTCTCCTTGCAGGATGACCCATTCGGCCGAGGTCCTGCGAATCTCTACCAAGTGAGCAGCGCCCTCTAGTTATCAGCAGGTGAGAGAAGACACACAGCCCCTCTCCCGCCATAGTGCCTGCACTTCAAGCCCTGTGTGAGCACGTCTCAGCCAAGAGCATCACGTCGCTGACTGGCCGCATCGGAGGGTGAGGGCGACGAAGAGGGCAGACGGAACGATAGTGCTGCGACCCAGCCAGGCCATCAAGAGAGCCAAGAGAAACGAGGAGCAGACGAACGAACGAAATGCGCTACCTACTTCTGCCTCTTCGGTCTTGATGGGCTTTTTACGAGGCAGGACATATTGTTGTACACTAACAGGTCCGACTGTTTTATCCGAATCGGTCCTCACAGCGTTTTCTCTGCACCTTTGCGCCAATGCTGCATTTGTCTGTATTGGTCGCGCTGCTCGTACACGTCGCTTTGCTGCGTGTGTGTGGTTTTGCTGGGTGGCATCCGTGTGTGTGCATTTGTGCGGTGTTTGTGCATTAATTTGTCCATTCGTGTGCGTGTGGGACGGACGGACGGACGGACGGATGGACCGACAGACAGACAAACCATTCAGCTGATCAAAACTGTCCTTCATCAGACACGCCGCGGGTGTGGGTGTCGGTCTGTCAATATAGCAATTGCGCTCCGGTGAGGATGGTCTTGCCCTCCCCGCCCGACACAGTGAGCCTCTTCTGGCTTGCCTCTCTGAGCAGAGTGATCAGCCCCTTGGGGCGTGGCTTGTAGGGCGACAGAACCACACACTTGAGGCGAGGGAAACTCTCAAAGACCGACACAACACACTCGGCAAACGACTGGAACAGACCCTTCTCTGCCGCATCAGTGAGAGAGGGGCCAGTGCGGCCGCAATAGCCATCCCAACGCAGTAACAGATGCATCTCGAGGCGAGACACACGACTTGCCATGACCTGCCTGCCTGCCTCCCTGTCCCCACCGTACACACGCCAACCGACAGCCAAATTCTGACTCTGGGGGGGATCATAGCTGAGCGTGGTGTAGTTGAAGCTAGGGGATGGAAAATCGATCTCACTCTTGACGCACACAGTGACATCTCGCCTGCCTTGAGCACAGAGATGGGCCACACCGGCAGGCACGAGACACAGCGTAGCATTGGGATTGGCGGGAGTAAACAGCCCAAACGTGATATGGTCGATGGATTGAAGTCCACTCAGCACCTGCCCCGCCCCTCCCTCAAAGAACTCTGCCCCTCCCCTCTGCTTGACCCACACAGACTTAACATTGGGGAACATCGCGCGAGGATCAGACGTTACGTACGAAGGCAGCACACCATCCCCATCATAGGCTGGCCCATCCCAGTCGATCGTGAGCTCATTCACACGTGGGAAAACGAGTGGACCGAGGTCGGGCACACCAGCACTCGCACGTGCTTTGAGTGTGACCCTGTCGGCCTGGGCGCAGCACATGTGGAGTGTGGGCAGCGCTGGGGCGACGGGTGGGGCCGCGCTGGTGAGCGGAAGGCGGAGTGCGAGGCCCTCTCTGCGCCGATACCCGTCGTAGGTGTGGTAGCTCTCAGTGGCGCCGTGTGAGAGGCAGGTGGTACGGAAACGATGCAGCGCCTAATATATGGGACAAAGACAGAAGACTCAGGACACCAATGGACCACCAAGCATGAATGGGTGCTCAGTCTGCCACTCACGCGGATGAGTTTGGTGTCTTTGATCGTATTGAGTCCCATCTCAACGTGACGAAGCGGCCCTCCGCCATTGTCCGTGCCGATGACGTCGATGAGTTGTGCCGGATCGCCGCTGCCGCCTGCGAAACCCCAGTCGGGGTACGAGAAGTCCACCTGCCCAGTCAGGCTCCCCTGAGAGAGAAAAGAATGCATGGCAGAAGAAGTGTCTGTCTGTCTGTCTGTCAGTCTCTGTGGTGCTCTCGTGGTCGATTGTCATCTCACCGGATGCTGTGTATCTTATCGCACTCGCTACTTCACCGACATGCCGGTAGTTTGCGTAGACGCCGCCTTCGTGCACGACAGCCATTTCGTCACGCTGCATGGCACACAAGGCACCAAGTAGAGTCTTTACGGCCTTTGCTGCCCACTTTCCTGCTTGCCTCCCGTCGTACTGTGTCAGGGATGAAGTGCAGGGACGATAGGCCCGACGACGCGTTGCGAACCAACGCCCTGGCGAACCCACTGACACCGACAATGCTCAGCTCCTTAAGTACGGGCAGGTCGTACTTGCGCCTGTGTGCGATGCTCTCCCACACCGAGCCGACCGTCGCCTTGCGCAGCTTGGGGAACGCAGTGGGGCTCTCGTTGCTCAGCACCTCTGCGATGTTCTGCCCTCTCCGCTGCCGTGTGCCTTGGAGCTCGACGGTCTCGATGGTGGCCGCGAGCTGCTCAAGCAAAGTGACGAGCCGAGGGGTGGGGCGGTGATGCACATGCAGGGAGCGACACTGAGACACACGACCTGCAAATACGAAACAGGCATTTGAGAATGGACATGAGCGAGAGAGGGAGAGGGAAAGAGAAAGAGAGAGGGAGAGGGAGAAGGGAGAGAGAAAGAGAGAGATCTCACCGGGCAGTTTGGCTGCGGTGCGTTTGGTGGGGTTTGCGTAGATGTCGACGATGGGGTGTACAGCGGGCTGGCGGCTGAGGTGGCTGAAATGTGTGTTGATGGTGGAGAGGGATGTCATGAAGGTGTGGTAGCCGAGGTACGCGCCCAAGCCAAAGCCCTCCTCGGTCGTCATCCACAGCGCCTCAGGCAACTCCTCCAAACCAGACCTCACCTGACACGTCCACAGAACGCACAGAGAAATGATGAACCCACCCACCCTCGACGGAGCTCTTTGTGTGTATGCGCGTGTGTGTCGTGCCCACCTCATGTTGGTTGAGTTTGTCCATGGTCTTTAGGATGACGTCGAGCTTCTTGACACATGCTTCCACCTGCTGCTTGGCCGTCTTGTCCACGGTGGAGATCTGGATGTCCGCCTCGCACCTCACCATGGCCGTAAGCACACGGTAGTGGCGGTCAACCTCCTGAAAGCAGAAGGAGAGGCGGGATGTCTATGGAACAAAGGTAGCTGTGTTGTGTGTGGCGGCTAACCTGCATGTGTTTCTGTTTGGCGAATGTGTTGGGGGCGGGGAGGGCAGCCTTCGCATCCAACATCTGCTGCGCCTGTGGAACAAACACAACACGCGGGAAAGATCACACAGTGGTATATGTACAGTCCTCGCCCTGTCGCCTCCACCCTCTGGTCCCTCATTTACTCACCTTAGCCTTTGCTTCGTTGACCATGTTGATCTGTGCCTGGAGTTGCTCTGCCACCTCGGCAAGAGCCGCCAACGCTTGCCCATGACCCACCTCACCAACATCCTGGCAAAATGCATAAGACACGGCAAATACAGCAAATACCGTCCATTGTTTAGCCCATCGACTCGTTGTCTTTGGATCTGTGTCGATGTCGTCCCGTGCGCACCTCCATCTCGACGTCGTCAGGCGTCAGTGGCTTTGTCCTGGCCTTCTTGACGTCCTTCCTCCCCTTGTTCTTCTTGTTCTTCGCCGCACGTCGGGCATGAGCATAGCCCTCCCACTCGGAGTTGTCGTCTGAATCCACGCTGCTCTCGGAGAACAAGGAGCGCCGCTTGCGATCACGACCACCACCACCACCACCAACACCACCAGCAGCGGCAGCGGCGGCGGATGAGGCGGCCATGGCGGCCTTGCGAACGGGACGAGCCGGTCGGTCCTTGACGTCCATCGTGACAAAGGGGGAAAGAGAGGAAAGAAATTGGGTCGTTCCATTTACCTTTTGTTGGCCAGGATGTCGCGAGCTATTGTCCTATTTCTCGCGTTCTTCTCGCTCGTTCTTCTCGCTCCTTCGGCAGCGATGGCGTCAGAAGGTGTTGAGCATCGCATGACCGCCCGTCAGGTGGCCATTGCCGCTGCGGAGGCTGCGGCGGGTGCGGGTCAGAAGCGCAAGCCGTCGATGGATGTGGGCGTGAGCAGCGACGGTGATGAGGAGGAGGATGGGTCAGAGTGGGAGGAGAGGGGCCGCCGCACCACCAAGGCCGCCAAGAAGAAGCAGCGGGTGGATAAGAAGGACAAGGCGGACAAGGCGGCTGCCGGCAAGGCCAAGCCCAAGAAGAAGGGCGGCAGATCTAAGGCCCAAGCGGCAGAGGAGGACCATCAGATGGAGGTACGCTCGCATCATGCGATGGGAGGGCACACCAGGGACCGGCATGGCTTGGGCATTGCTCATCCATGGCTCGCTGCTGTCTGTGTTTCGTTTGTCTGCCCGTCAGGATGTGGTTGAGTTGTTTCCTGCCGACCCACTGGAGGCTCTCAAGGCCGGGCGCAGAAGCTACAGACGCAGATCCAGCGCGTCGAACACGCCAAAGCAAAGGTGAGCGAGAAGGAGAGGGGCTGAGAGAGGATCACCGGAGAGGAATGTGTGTGGTGTTGTGTGTGTCGTCCTGCCTGCGTTCAGGCTAAGGAGTTGTATGAGTTGAAGATGGGCCTCGCCGCGCCCGAATCGCACACGCAGCAGAATCGCATGCAGGTGAGAATGACGACACGACGCACACGCTTGACACGACACATCCCCCCTGCTCACTCCTGCGCCTTGTTGTGTGTATGTGTGTGTGGCTGGCTGATGATGCAGGACGTTGACCGCCACTACCGCGTGTTGACGGCGATGGTGACGGCTGATGCTGAGGCCCACGCCACCCACACTGACACGGCCGTCAAGCGGCAGCTGGACCGGTGCGTCGCCAAACTCCAAATCATACAAGACAAAATCGACAAACTACACGACGAGGAGGTCAACGCACCGCACATGGGACAGGCACAAGGCGGGGCCACATACATGTGTGGCTTTGTCTGTGCAGGTGGTTGAGCCCTGCCTCGAGGGGCTGCCTGAGGCCCTCTGGCTGAGCAGCGACGAGAAATTCGGTACGGGAAGAGATTGGACGACGAGTCCAGGGGACGGGGAGGATGCATGTGTTGTGTGTGTTGCTGTGTGTCAGGACTTGATGCCTTCATTGGTTTCGTGCCATGTCTGACGTCGCTGTCGGCTGTGAGCAGCCACTTCCACACCCTCACCCAGGACAGCAACATGCACCCCATCATCCAACTCGACACCTCACCACCCAATGACATCGCCAAGGAACTGCCTGGTACGCAAAGGGAGGCCTCATGCGTCATGTGCCCGTCTCCACCTATGTAGCGGTGCTGCGTCGTGATTCAGGTCGTTTCTCAAAGTGCAAGGACATCCGCATCAATCACGCCCCCACACCCGCCCTCATCCGCCTGCTCGAAAACCTCAAGGACAGCATCACGAGTATCGACCTGAAGGGCCACGGGGGCATCGCATTGGGGGAGAAGGACCAGCCCAGCCACAGCCCCCAGCAGCACACCATCTTCCCGCAGCTCCACAAGGCAGCCGTCCAGGGGAAGTGGGGCGGCGTCGCACCAGATCGCAAGTACACACTCCCGGCCCTCAAGCACCTGAGTGGCGACACATTCAGTCGCCATGGGGGGTACTCTGCGCATTACGGGATCAGCCCTCGTACACACGGAAATAAATGGATGCAGCACACGATTCTCCGGGCCGCGACACGTGTGTTGGTGGGTGTTTATGCAGGTGGTGTCGTGGATTGACATCGCATCTGATGGCCTGACATCCATCCACTCTACCTACGTTCAAGTAAGGCGCACGGACAGGCAGCACGTCGTCGCACACTCAAGACTTTCATGCTGTGTGTCCGGTGTGTCCTGCTGTGGTGCGTCAGTCGCTCACAGACGTTTCCGCTTCCATCAAGGACACCCCAACTGATGAGAGGGTTGCGGCAGGGAATATTGTAGCCATCGACACAGCACTCATTGTGTGCCTCCTTGTGGTGACAGCCAAGACTCTCACGTCCCTCTCCGGCTTCGAATTCTCGGGCAACGACTACGACCACAACCCCCAATTGTACCACCCCTGGTACCAATACGGCCTCGGCGGCGACAAGGCGCCCGAGGATGAGCTCAGTGACCTCATCTCAGCCCCCCAGGGAGCCAAGCTGCAGAAGATTGAGATGCGCCTCCCCGACATGCCGACACCCAAAACTATCCAGGTGAGCATGAGAAGACGCCGACTCACCAGCTGTCGATTTCTGCGCTGGTTGTCATCAGAGGATTCATCGGTTCCTAGCTGCCTGCCTCGCACCTGACGCGGTCGAGACGTACCACACGGGCACCTACTTCCACCTCCGGCTGCCCTTCAAAGGCGACTTCGCCCCCCTCGCCACCTGCTGCACCAAAGCCAACAGCGTGATTCTCGAATCCCACGCAAAGGACGGCACAGGGACGGCGGCGCTCAGCCCCCTGGTGTGCGAACGGGCCCGAGAGCTGACTATCCAATGCAGCTACCGCGACCAGCAGCCCGCGCAGCCGGCGTATCCACACCTCGCCCACCATGCTCGAGCGCCGCCCCGTGTCACGCAGCCCATCCCGTCCTACATCACGTCTAATGCCCACTGCCTCTTCCCCAGTGTGGTGTCGCTGAGTGTGCATGAGGGGCATGCGGGTATGCGCGTGTATGAGGGAGGGGCGGGCGTCTTCATGGGGTCGCTGCCATCGCTCGAGGAGGTGTCGTTTGATGTGCATGTCAAACCTGACCCGGGTGCTGAGCTGTGTCTCGTGCCTGAGGGTATGGGTTTTCTGTCGAGTCAAGGCAAGGATCTGACAGTCAAGTTGTCGATTGACGCTGAGGTTGACCGCTACCGCTACCTGTATGGTGGCCAGTCCGACGCAGCGCCAGCCGATGACTTGACTGTGCAGTGGCGTGTGTACGGTGGGGAGGGTGAGGCTGACAGACAGGTCATGCAGCGTGTGTCTCGTCTGGAGATCGATCTGCGTGTGTCTCTGCGCCACGGCCGCGAGCGCGGGCTGTCCTTTGCTGCTGCAAGGGACATGTGCGAGTCGTTCGCCGACTGCGTCGCTGAGGCCTTCGGCAGCTGCCCCTCTCTCTTGTCTGTCATGCCGTGCTGCCTTACCTCTACAGCTCTCGGTTCTCGCTCGTCGATTGTGTGAGGGAGGGGGCTAAGAGGCGATTCAGAGTGGCCAAAGGGCAGGCAGTGGGGGGATGTCAGAATGTTGTGTTGCGACCGAGCCAGGCCAAGCAGAAAGTCAAGAAACAGACACACACCAACGAGGCAGACACAGTCATGAAGACAGAGGAGGAGTGAGGGGAGAAAGGCAGACCGACCGACGGCCGGTGTCTCGTATGTATCTTCATCTTCTTCTTTCGCATGAATGAATGCACGGGCTTTGTACAGCCGCACCCATTCCGATCCGCGCGTGTACATGTGTGGGAGAAAGAAAGACAGAGACGGCCCGGCACAGACAGACGGGCGTTGCGTGTCGGGGGGCGTGTCGGGGGGCGTGCGCGCCTCTGTTCGTTCATATTCGTCCGGCCGACATTCATGACATGCCAACTTTGAGACTCAGCCCGCACAGCAACTGTCCGCTGAATCAATCGCACATGCATACACAGTGACGGATGGACGCTTGGCTCGCTTCATCAGACAGATAATGACATACATACAAGTGTTCGTCTCGCGATTCGGGTCAGCTGATGGGCGGTTGCTGATTGAATGGGTGCGGGTGAGCTGGGCTCATTTGTGCAGGCACTCCCGCGGCGCCCAGCAAGGCAAAATTGAATGCGTGGATGCTGACACACCAATTTGGCCTTGCTGTACTATGCATGAGTGGCAACCCCCGCCATCTCAACACACCGAATCACCACCCATTCATTTGTCTCTTGACATACGCAATCATTTCCACGCGGCCGTCCATGCTGTGTGTGAGCTCCTCTTTGCAGGGTGCGGCCTCACTACCAAGGAGGTCCTAGCAATGTGACGCATTGCCAGGATCCTCGTCAAGTGGTGATGCAGCATCCCGCCAGGAAGAGCCCACACACGCATCACACCGCAGGCAGACAGGCAGCATCACACAGTAAATGACAACACATACATTCCCTCGTGTGTGCGTCTAGGTGACGCAGAAAGATGAACATGCGATAGATAGATACACCAGCAACCGAAAAGCCCAAGACGTGCACAGAAGAGCCCCGCCATACATTCATTCAGTCAAACGCCCCCCGCCTGCCCGCCTCCATCCACCATGGCCGCCCCTGGCGGCGGCTGATGCGCTACAGACGCCACAGATGCGTGCATCCTCGGCGAACCATAAGCTCCCGGCACCATCTGCTGCTGCTGAGGGTCCACCATCGTCGGCCCTGGCCCGGGCGGCGGAGGACCTGGAACAATCGGCGGACCAGTGACGATCGGAGGGCCGGCGACCGCAGCTGTCGGTGGCGAGGAGGGGTACATGACATGGTAGGGCGCGGCACCACCACCACCAGCAGCAGCGGCAGCCATGAGTGGTGGCTGCGGGTGGCCGCGCGCCGCGGGCATGGGAGGGCTGAATGTGCCGTGTTGGTCTTCGAGGAGCCCCCGTGCGTCGTGCTCGTATGCGGCGGAGGCTAGGGAGGGGGGCATCTGCATGTGGTGTGGCATGCAACACACGTATGGAGATGGAGATGTGTCGTGTTTGCCTTACAGGCGCGATGAAGAAGGCCAGCATGAGGAACTGCACAAGACAAGACCACAGCACACATACAGAGAGGAGAAAGAGATGTCACGTACTTGTATCAACGCAGTGGCCGTCGAGTCTCTCTCTCTCTCTGTGCGTGTGTGTGGTTTACCTTGGCGATGACTTCTATGACTGCGATGAAGATGACCAGCTTGTGGTAGCCCATCGTCCTGCTCTCTATCGCCAGCCAGTCGTGCGAAAACCACTTCGGACCTGCACCATAACGACAGCAACACACCGTGGCCATGTCTGTCTGTCTGTGAGTCCCCGTCTCTCTCTCTCTGTCCCTCACCCCAGTAGAAGATGTACACGATGTCTTGCAGAATGCTCAGGGCGATGATCACCGACAGCGACAGATTCTCACGCTGACCAACCACCACACACACAGGCAGGACACCACCACACATAGAACCCACAGATCACAGAGATCTCCCTCCCTCTCCTCTCCTATGTCGTGTTGCCCACCTGTTTTCTGCCCTTGGGTATCTCATCGTAGAAGGCTATCAGCATCCCAAACAGCACCACATTGTAGTCGGGCCGCGCGAAGCACCCGAGGGCTCCCAGCAGTGCCAGGATGTAAAACGCGCCTTTGAACGTCCCGCGTCGGAAATCCAACCCACCCTCCATCACGGCAAGCCGCTTGACACCACGAAGAGGCCAGATTTCGCCGATCCACTCACAGGTCAAGCTCGCATTTGCAAGCTGAGCTCGCAAACGTTCCTGAAACAGGCGCTGTGCGGCCTCCCCTGTCGCCCATATGACCTCCCCAGTGGCAGATCTGTCAGATCTGTGAGTTTGACTCATCCTTTGGCCCGTCCAAGGCAAGATGATAGACGCCACGGGTGCCGTGAGCACCGAGGTGCGTCGGCTGACGTTCGCCATGCAGACCAAGGAGGAGATTCGTGCACAGAGCGTCACGCGCATCGACAGGGTGGGCGTGTGGACACCGCTGGGGCTCGCGGACGCCAGGGGCGTGCACTCGCCGCTCCTTGGCCCCCTCGACAAGACCATGCCCTGCCCCACCTGCGGACTCACTAACGAGTGCCCCGGTGAGAGCCGGTGGGGGATGGACAAGTTGAGATCCCGGATGAATCTGTCTGTGTGTGTGTGTGTGTGTGTGTGGTTGTGTAGGTCACAATGGTCACATCGAGCTGAGCACTCCGATGTTTCACCCGTCGATGATGCAGCCCCTGGCCACCATCCTGCGTGCCGTGTGCTTCCGCTGCAACAAGCTCAAGATGCCCACCGACAAGCAGGAGAGCTTCGTCAAGCGGTTCAAGCTCCTGGGACTGGGCGGACTTGGGGAGATGAGGACATTCACACGAGCGTACGCTGCCCCGCCCCGCCCACACACACAAAGGCATATGGGACACGTGTGTGTGTGTGGTGGTCAGACGTATGCCGATGAGCGAGAAGTTTGCCGAAGAGCTGCTCAAGTCCCTTCTGGAGGAGAACCCCGACACAGCGCTCAACGAGACCGAGGCAATCGCTGACGAATTCGACCGCGCGAGAGACCGTGCCAACGTACCCACACACACCATCCACTCCACACACATAGGGAGGGAGAGAGATCGACAAGTCCATCCATTCATCCGTTCACCCTCCTGTGCGCGCGTGTGTGCGTGTGGCCTGCAGGCCTCTGTGAACGATTTCATCGGGAGGGAGTCTCGTCGTCGCGGTGTGGGCGAGTACTTCGGCGAGCGCGAGCAGGACATGTTTCGGGACAGCACTGCCAAGTTCGAGATCTACATGGCGCTGCGGCGGGGCTTCATCGTCTACGCCAACAAGTGCGCCAACAGGCGGTGCCCCCACTGCACACACAAATGCAAAATGGGCGTCAGACCCGCTGCCAAATGGGGCGTTGGTGAACAAACAAAGAGAGAGAATGCCTGCGCTGCACTGCACCCGGAAATGTGCCCGGTTGCGTATGTGTGGTGTGTGTCCTGGTGCTTCCTTCGTCCTTTGTGTGTGTGTCAGGTTTGATGCAGCTGTCGTGGGGCAAGAAGGTGGACAGCCCCTGGTCGCAGGAGCAGGAGGCCCGCTTCATGTCGGACCAGCGCGAGACCCCCCGGTGGATGGAGCTCTACCTCCCAAGGGCCGTCATCAAGGCACTCGACGACCCCAACGTCGACGTACGCAGTGCAACACACGACAGACACAACACCGAGCACAGAAATGGCGTAGTATCTTTCCTCTTGTGTGTTTTTGGCTTTACAGGTGAGTGATTTGATGATGCGTTACAAGGAGGCGATGGAGTACATGGTCAAGGACATCGCCAAGGAGAACAGGCGGTACGGCGGCCAGCAGCTCGCCGCCATGGACCTCTACCCCATCCTGCAAAAGGTCTGGAACAACGGCGCAGAGGTCCTCGAGTTCGTATTCCCTGTGAGTAAGTAAAGTACTCTCACTTTCACCGCACACACCGCGCCACACACAGAGAGAGTGTGTGCGTTGCAGCCCGTCGTCTGAAGCACGAGGCGTTCTTTATGGACGTCATGGCTGTGAGCGGCAACAAGTACAGGCCGCTGGTGCGCCTGAGCAACAAGAGCGGAGGCGGCGGAGATGAGTTCGAACGAGAGGGCCATGGCGGTCAGTCAGCCACCTCACCTGACCTGAGCTACACGCACCATGCACACAGACAGGGATCTCTCCTTGTCTCTCTGTCTGTCTGTCTGTCTGTCTATAGGTCGTGTGCGTCACATGCTGCATCCCCGCAGTGTGGCGTTGCAGCGCATCTTGGAGCTGTCCCTCAAGATCGAAGATCACTGGGACTGGGCGTTCGAGCTCATCGAACGACACCTCAGGCACACACACACCACACACACACATACACCTCCATATATAAGTGTGTGTGTGTGTGTGTGTGTTGCAGGTATCTGGTGCAGGTGAAGCATTTCGGTCTCGAAGATGGGGACGAGCAGCCCAAAAAGACTGCCAAGAAAGGCAAGAAGGCCGCTGCCGCTGGCGCTGCTGCTGCTGCTGCCGAGCGGCCAACCGTCGACGTGTCCAAAGACGTACGACCCCACCCACCACCAACACACACAGACACATGAGTCCACCCATCAAATGTCTCTCTCTCTCTCTCTGTGTGTGTGTGTGTGTGTGTGCATGTTGGTGTTAGGAGGAGCGAGAGGTGGCCAAGTTGGCAGCAGAGGAGCGTCGTCGTCAGCCGCTGAATGTGACTTACCAGCTGATGGAGGGGGCCGTCATCACCCTCGACGAGGACATCAAGCAGATGCAGATGCAGGTCATCGCTTACCTCGACAAAAACAGAATGCCTGCAACGTGAGAAGCAGCCACAACAACAACACCACCCACAGACACAGACATAGACACAGAGGGGAGGGGGAGGGGGATGCGGCACTCGTCCACACGTGTGTGTGTGTTGCGTGTGCAGCAAGAGGGACGATTATCCCCCCGGCGTCCGCCAGGGCCTCGAGGCAAAAGCCGGTCGGTCGAAGGCCACGCACAACCAACACATGTGCACCTCCCACACACACTCTGCTCTCCCCTGTGTGTGTGTGTGTGTGTCTGTTTATCATGTGTCAGGTCTGATGCGTATGAAGATGATGGGCAAGCGCGTCAACTTCGCCGCCCGGTCGGTCATCGGCCCGGACCCCTACATCGAACCCAACGAGATCGGCGTCCCCGAGGCGTTCGCAATGGTCCTCACTCTGCCCGAAATGGTCAGCAAACCGTGAGAAGGCTCAGAAGCGTACACATGGTGTGATTGTGTGATGGCTCTACTGCACTGCAGGTGACCCCGTTCAACTACCGGTGGCTGCACAAGCTGGTCATGAACGGCCCCCAAAAGTACCCGGGAGCAAACATGGTCCAAGACTCGAGGGGCCAGGCGTAAGCTCCACCCCTCCCCCTCCCACCCCCACAAGTGGTCTGTCTTTCCCACGTCCCTCTGCGTATCCTTCAGGGTGACATTGGTGCGGATGAGCTACTCGGCGCGCCGCGGCATCGCAGGCAAGCTGCTGCTCAAGGGTTCGAGCGACCGCGCGGCCGAGGCTCCGACGATTGTGTATCGTCACCTGAGGGACGGCGATGTGGTGCTGATGAACAGACAGCCGACGCTGCACAAGCCGGGCATCATGGCACACGTCGTCAGGGTCATCAAGGTGGGTCTGTCTGCTGGGGCTCGTAGACAGAGGTGCGTGAGTGTGTGTGTCTGTGTGTGGTCTGTGTGGTTGGTGTGGGTGATTAGGGTGAGAAGGTGCTTCGCCTGCACTACGTCAACTGCAACACGTACAACGCCGACTTCGACGGAGACGAAATGAACCTCCACCTCCCACAGGTGCGCACACACGCACACACACCCACAGACCTACCACATGGGTATCTGGTCGATAATGCCTTTCTCAGGATCCCATCTCCCGCGCCGAGGCTCAGCTTCTCGTCAACGCCGACAACCAGTACACAGTGCCCAAAAGTGAGTGTGCGAGCCAGCGATGAGCAATGGGGGGCATCGCTTGTGTGTGTATGTGTATGTGTATGTGTGTGGTGTAATCGCAGGTGGCGACCCCATCCGGGGCTTGATCCAGGACCACATCATCGGGGGCACACTCATGACCTCCAGGGGCACCATGCTGTCCGCACACGAATACACCAACCTGGTCCGTCAGTCAGCCAGCCACCATACCATGCACTCAGACGCTATCTCAGCACACACCTGTGTGTGCGTGTGTGTGTGTGGTCGGACAGGTGTATGCGGCCCTGCAGACGTTCGTGAACGCGGGCGGCAACCAGACGCCCCTCTCACAGAGAGTCGACAAGAAACCAACCGCCAGACACAGGTCAGTCACATCACACACAGACACACACACACGCACGCAGAGAGAGAGAGAGAGAGGGGAGGAGGGTGTGGTGCATTGGCGTGTGAGATGTATATGTCTGGATGCCTGCAGTGTGGTTGAGCGTCGGATGTTCATTCACCGCAACAAGCGCATCCTGGTGGAGCCGCCCGCCATCCTCAAACCAAAGCGCGTCTGGACCGGCAAACAGGCACGCCCAGACCCCCAACCATACCACACCACCACCAGCCACATGAGCCTTCCTTCAAACAGCAGGCCAGGCTGTTGTCGTGTCGTGTGTGGTGTGGTTGTGCGCACGTGCAGGTGATAACGACAATCCTCAAGACCCTGGTGGACCAGTTCGCCACGCACTCTCTCGGACACACCAAGGGATTCAGGTAGCTCACATACATGTTGACACATCCGCCACACACCACACCACAAGCCACACCACACACATGCGTGTGTGTCAGAAACTACCGTGGTTTGAACTTCAACGGTCGGTCGAAGCTGCCCGGCGACGTGTGGAACGGCGTGCTCGACGGCGACGACGAAGAGGCCGACTGCGTCATACGGTGGGGACTGACTGCAACACACATAGGCATCCATCACACTCACACCCACACCCGCACAGACAGACAGACAGACATTCAGAGAGACCCGCTGTCCTGTGCTGTCTGGTCTGTGGTGTGTGTTGTGTGTTGTGTGTGTGTCAGTGAGTCTGAGATGCTGCAGGGTCTGATGGACAAGTCCCAGTTCGGCGGGGCCAAACACGGCTTCATTCACCTGCTCTTCGACCTCTTCGGACCCAAAATGGCCGGTGGGTGGGTGGGTGGGAAAAGCGGATGGATGGATGCCCCTACCTATGGCT